TGATTCTTCTTTTCAATATAAATTCAAGGGTCTTTGAGCTTGATCTTGAATTTTAATTTGATTTATCCGTCGCGACCACTTTGATTGTTGCTACGAATTTTATCACGAACAAGTAGCCTTGATCTTGAACGCCTTGTATTTGATTTGATTTCGTTCTTGATCTTGAATACTTGAATTGTTCTTCGTTCTTGAACTTGAACTTGGTTGCTTGAAGCCTGAAACTTGTAGAGAAATTTGCTTCATTTGATCCACGAGCTCTCTCTTGCTTCTTGTTATAACTTCTGGTGTCTTTTCTGATTTATGAAGACCCCTATTTATAGTTGTGGAAGAGAGGAGTTATGATAAGAACAAACTCTTTCCGACCAATCAAATTAAAGTGTGACATGGCCGCATTTGATTGGCCAGAACATGTCACTTGCACACGTGGCGCGGTTTCATTGGCCATTTAATATGACTTGGCATGCTTTGTCATTTTGACATGTGGTATGATCTCATTGGCTCTTCCGTTTGACTTGGCGTACCACGTCATTTGCCACGTGACACCAAACTGGGCCTCTAGGAAGATAATATCTTGGGCTTAATGAAGTGGGCTCATCACTTTAGCCCAATTAAATGGGTTAGCCCAATGGATTAAGACTTATTTATTTAATCCATATATATTGGACTTATATAATTAATTCAATTATATTAGTCTATAATATTTATGTGGAACAATATATCTTGAATCTTAAAATATAATCCAAATTCTTTTATGGATTCAAAATTTATATGCCTACAAATACCCCCTACTTCAGTTGTCAAAATATAGATTTGTTGAACACAAGACAAGACTTGAAGTATTGGTACCACATCATTTATTTTCCATCGTACCGTAACATCACGCCAAATACTTATGAATTTGCAGATTCCTCCCATCATTTTGCTTGTTACTGTAATTATCTAAAATAACACACCTTTCATTGGTGCAAAGCTTCATACAATCCAGCAAAATCTAGAAATTGCTCCAGTATTTTAAATATTTGGAGAACTTGGTGGGATCATCATAATTGTGGACCATTATGCGGCCGCAGAATTACTTTGCTGGCCGCAGATTGCATCGTAGAATCGACATGAGGTATTCTGGGAGGGATTCTGCGGCCCGTTTTGCGACCGCAAAATCGATATGCGAACCGTAGAATAGCCGCACACCCAGTCAGTGGTGGCTAGTTCTGGAGGCCATTTTTGCGGCCCATTTTGTGGACCGCCGAAACATTATGCGGTCGCATATGCGACCACAAATTTCGTTCTGGAGCTTCATTTTTGGGTTTTTATAACCCGACCCCTTCTCATAAAACACTATTAGAGGTCATTTTAGAAAAATAAAACTCACATTTTTTCGAGAGAGGAAGGTGGTCTAGAGTGAGAAGAGGAGTTCTAAGCCATTGTCATTAATCTTTGCCCAAACCTTGAAGATTTCTCTAGAGTAATTCACAAGGTCTTTAACCAAAAGGTAAGATTCCACACCTAGTCCTTAATTTCGAAATTTAACTAGAAATGAGTAATTAGGAAGATAATTCTTGGGTATAGCAATTGTTTATTTTGCATGCATGTGTTATAAAGGGGTGTAGGAAGATTGTTGAGCTAAAATGGTAAGGAATGTTGTGGGATGACGGAATCCTCCATAAAAGGATCTTGAAACCTTAATACACACCTAGTTTTTGATAAAATGCTCAAATGAGCTAGAATCATAATCATCTTCCTAATTTCTGGTTCAATTTGTTATATTTCTAAAATAGATTGAAGTTGCTAAGATTTTCAGAATATTTTAGAGTTTAAGGAAGCTCAAGTGAGGCGTGTTGGCTAAACTCTTCTCTTAGAATTGAACCCCACAATGTCCTTGTAAATCTCGAGTTGCTCGTTATGAATTTATTATTCCGGATAAGCTTTGTGTCAAAAAACGTATGTGTTCAACATGTATTTAAATGCTCTTATTATGTTGTGTTGCTATTTGAGGATGTGTTCAAAGTATCTGTTGCATATCTAAATGCCATGACTTCAAGTTGTATTTCAATTGAAAGCTAATTACCATTGTGCAAGAAATCTTAATACGCCTAAGACTCTTATTTGCTCATGTGTGTGCTTAAATGTCTTGAATAGAAATGCCTTATTGTTGGAAAGTCCATGATGACGATTGAAAGTGAAAAGGTGTGCATGAAATACGAAACATAAAAATACGAAGCACAAAATACGACATGTGAAATATAAAACGTGAAATATGAAACACGGCCAACGTGCCAAGAGAAACAATACAACTGTGACCACTAGTGCCAATAAAATGAAGAGATGTGCAAGAAGTATGAAATGGAATGATTGATAGAAAATGACGATATCTCAAATGAGACGGCCTAGTCGATTGGGTCGTGATCGGACGTCATACCACACATATGGTGGTGATCGTGTTGGAAATTGTAATCGAAATGGTGAATGGTGATATATCGGTACTAAAGATTTCCCAACTTAAAACATGAAAATTTAATTGAAAACTTATTTTATCCCTAAGTTGATATTTGGTAATTGTTTGAGGCTTTAACTGATATTATGATTGTCCGTACTTGCATTATTGTTCGTTCTTTTGAGAGGGTATTTGGTCATTTATACTAGTACTATTCAACGGTACTAACATCCATTTTGCCGGGGGCGCTGCATCTTTAATGGATGCAGGTGGTTCTATACAAGATGGCGTTGATCAACGATAGTGGTACGCACTCCTCCCAGCAGACTTGGTGAGCCCCACTTTATTCCGGGGTCATGTATCTTTTGTTCATTATATTATCATGTTTTGAGGTATAGCCGGAGCCTTGTTGTCGGCACTATCATAATACTCTTTTGTATCTTTTAAAGGCTCCGTAGACATAATGTGAGTTGTATATGGGTCCTGAGAATGTTAAACAAGTTATGTTGTAATTGAATCACTTGTTCCACTTCGAACCATGAAAGTATGTGTATTTTGAGACTTATTAAATGAAGTAACTAATGGTAATGAATTTGGTATTTTCTACATGATCTCCTTCCGTTATTTGCCTCGGCAAGTTTCCCACGATCTTATTCGGTCTCGATCTTGTTCGGCCCCGGGGTCACGAGCTCAACGATCTAATTTTGCACCTTGGTTTGATGGAACCCGAGCTCGAGTTTTGACCTACCATATTTCAGCATCGACTGATCACACAATAGGCGTACCCAGTTTCGATCGTATACAATTTCCTTTTCTCCCCAACGAGAGCTATTCTCTATCTCTCAATCAAACTACACACTCTAAACAACCCCCTTGTCCCCCAAGCTTCGCTTTTCTTCTTCCTTTTCTCCATTTACCTTTCTTGATCCTTCAACAACTCACCCATGTAGAAATTCCTATTTTTATATTTTTTTGGGATAATATATAATTACCCATTGTGGTTGTAACAATTTACCAAATGCACCTTTTAGGTCCTTATATTTGTTAAACATGTAATAAATTACACTTTTTGTTACTAAGTACAATCTCAACTAAAATAGTGTGTGGCACGCATCAATTATATTTTGACACTTTTTTTAAAACTAAATAATTTCCTTTTTATTGCTATTTATTTTATTTATCTTTTTTTTTTTGCATTTTATTATTTTCCCAATCCCTCCTTCTCCCGTTAATACTTTTACCCAACTACTTTTTTCTGTTTCTTCTTATTTTCTCTTTTTCACTTCTCTTAGTTCTTTCTTCTTTTTCTTTTTCTTCTTCTTCTTCTTCTTCTTTTTTCACTTTTAGTTTTCTCTGGTTTTTTTTCTTCATCTTCTTTTTCTTTCTATCTCCCACCCTTCTTTTTAATATTAGATATCCCTCCATTATTTTTGAGGTATCGCCAGCGGCAAGGATCGAAGGTGGAAGAAAAGATGGTGGACTGAAAATTCTTGATCATCAAAAAATTTAAGGGATAAAAGTTACGGAAGAAAGATGTAGGAGAAAGAAAAAGAAAAAGAAGATAGGTAGGTGATGGTGAGAAGAGTCACCGGAGCAAAAAAGTCAAAATATTGGTAATTTCAATTATTAAAAGTGCGAAAAGAATATTAGATGAGTTATGATTTGAAATGAATTAAAAAGAAGCTAAAAGTGGTAATTGTCAAATATAAAGCTTGAAAGTGTCTGCTATGCAATGGAGATTTCGATTGAAGTTGCACGTGAAGAAACGAGTATAGAATTATAGAGAAAAAAAATCAAGAAAGAGAAAAGAAAAAAGAAAGAAAAAGCTATTTTGGAGCTCTTCACGCGCACGGCGTACCTATCAAGTAGGGCTGTTCAAAATCGATCCGAAACCGAAAATCGATCCGAATCGAAGCTTAATGGCTTACTGGTAACGGCTTAACGGACGGGGAACAGATTAAATTTTTTTTATTAATGANTAAATATAAAAAAAAAAGTTGAACTTGAATAATAAAAAACAAACCCATGTGGCCATGTATACTAACCCATGTATTCTAAGACTAAAACAGTAAAACTAACGCACTCCTCCTAATCCAAAGAAACCAGCAGTCCAACAGTCTCATTCTCATTTCTAACCCTAACGCCTAAGTCCTAACGACAAAAATCAAAATCACAGAAACCCAACCCTAACATCATATTGCCTCTGAAATGTTATTTTTTTTTTTTTATGGCAATTCATTATTTCTAAGACGAGGAGAACGAGAGATATTTAGTGAATATGTATGTTAGCCGTTAGGCCGATAAACCGCCCGATAAGAGCTAAATCGATACCAATCCGTCCGATATCTTATCGGGTGGCTAACAAATTAATACATTTAAAAGCCGAAAACCGTTAAGCCAAACTGTTAAGAGTAAAAAGCCGCCCAATCCGCCCGATAAGCAGCCCTACTATCAAGTGCACAAGTGCCACGTAAGCTTAAACGTGTAATTTATTTCTACAATTTTAATAAATATAAGTGGGTTATAGGACACCCGCAAAATTAATTAAAGGGTGAATCTCATAATTTGCTACAACCCTATCTATTATCCTATTTTTTTCTTCTTCTTCTTTCTTTTAATTGTGAAAATATTTTCGCATCCTTAATTCTTCATCGGCTCAAGCATGTGTTTATTTTCGGGTAAATTAGAACGGGATCTCTAATTTTATATTTTCTCTGTGTACATCTGCTATAGTGGAAGTGCTGTTTTTCAGCCATGGAGTAGTCATAATTGATCAAATCAAACTATTCTCTATGTCAATTTGAAAGGTTAAAAATGGAGGTGGCAGCGCAGTTAAAGAGAGGGATATTGAGACAATTCTCAACAGGATCCTTTAGGAAGAGCGGAAAATTCAGTTTCAAGAGGCAGAATTCATTCGATCCAAGGAGGAATAATTTGAGGTTCAGTTTCGGCAGGCAGTCGTCCCTTGATCCGATTCGAAGGAGTTCTTCGAATGAAAATGGCGAGCTGAGTGTGCCAGACAATCTCGATTCGACGATGCAACTGTTATTCATGGCGTGTAAAGGGGATGTGAAGGGAGTTCAGGACTTGTTGGATGAAGGCATTGATGTGAACAGCATCGATTTGGATGGTAGGACTGCTCTTCACATTGCTGCCTGTGAAGGCCATGTGGAAGTTGTCAAGCTTCTGTTGAGTAGGAAGGCTAATATGGATGGCCGTGATCGTTGGGGTAGCACGGTATAAATCTTGTTATTTTTACTCCTTCGGGGATTATTTTCTCGTTGTTGTTTGGTAAATTGCAGTAGGGATAAGTAAAACCTTTAATTTAAACAAACTATGGGGATCCTTTGGCTTTCTTCTTCCTCCTTCCTTCTGTTATATCCTAATACTTTGCTGTTTGTGGTCTGACAATGCTATGGTATAGGCATTAGCTGGTGGAGATTCTCTACTTTGAGAAAGTATTGACGTATGATGAACAAGATATGTACAAGCTTTTTGTCTCCGAATAATCGTATTTAGGTCCTATAAATGTGCAAAATGCTTTGATAAACTAAGGACAAGCAACCAACCCCATAAAGGCTCATATTTTATAACAATCAAGCAATTTATGAGTTTGGCTTTAGTAGTACCATATATCTAAACGTAAATCTTGTTGCTTTATCCCTTATTACCCAACTTTGACTGTTATAACTGGCTGTGACAGGCAGTAGCTGATGCCAAATACTATGGAAATGCTGAAATTTACAACATTTTGAAGGCCCGTGGAGCCAAAGTGCCAGTAAGTGGGTCAAGTTTCCTAATCAGATTGAGGTTCCTTATGTTTTGGCACTCATAGAAGCGTGTGTTATGTTGCTAGAAAAACAGAAAGACGCCAATGGCTGTAGCAAATCCTCGAGAAGTTCCAGAATATGAACTAAACCCTCTGGAACTTCAAATCCGCAGAAGTGATGGAATCTCAAAGGCAAGCTATTTGTTTTGTTAATCAGCATTGTGATGTTTCAATCATGCTGCGGTTGATGAAGGCACAGTTAGGCCTTAAATTGTGAAAGTTACCTTCCATTTAAAATTAAAGGAAGCCTGAATTCATTAGATACTTTAACCATTTTTATCTTTCTTTGCTTCTTGAGTGAAGCCGTGAGATACAAGGCCCACTTTTGTTTCACGCCATGCTTTTGGCTGGATAAGTTTTGGATCTGTTCTTAACAAGTTTTCTAAATTTTCTTTTTTTTTTACAGGGTTCATATCAAATTGCCAAATGGAATGGAACGAAAGTTTCGGTAAAGATACTTGACAAGGATAGCTATACAGACCCTGAAAGCATGTATGTTTCAGCTGCTCTGCAATTCCCATATCATGTGTTATGCTTCTCAGAGTTCTATAGATGCTCAGTTATTTTTGCTTTTGTGTCCTGTATCAAGAGAGCCTCATATCAAAAATTTTATTGGATTACGCTATCTACTGAGTAAAACCCCTGTGACAATTTAATTTGGATCCTCCAATCTCAGGGCTTCACTAATCTGTGTGTGGATGAGTCACGTACATCAGTTATCTTTTTGATGAAGCTGATTTTGCCTAAACAACAAAAAGTTGATAGAAAGATGAACTAATTCATTGGTCAGAAAAAATCAGCTGTAGTCAGATAGAAATGGTACTGTTTACATCATGTAAGTTGGTGAAGCTGGTAGAATGCTATTGTAGATCGGTTGATTGTCATGTGCTATATTTGCACATAGGTGATAGATTCCTTGATTTGTGTCCTAATCTTTAATTAAGATTTAGAAGTTGGGTTTGTCATCTGTGGTACTTAGCTTTCTTCTTACGTGTCTTCCTAACATTTCTTTGAACCCCAAAGACTTGGAATGCAATGTTACATAATCTTCTTTTGCATTTACTGCTACTCCCAAAGGTCATCGTTTCCCTGAAACTGATACTCCTCCATCCAATTTATGTGAAGGTGCTTGACTAGACACAAAGTTTAAGAAAGAAAGACTTTTGAAACTTGTGGTTTAAAACATGCCATAGATTTTTCTTTGGCTATAAATCATCTCATTCTGTGTAAAATGAGAAGTTTAAAGTTGGTATTGATTCGAAATATAGAAAGGTATTGTCACGCCCCAAATCCGGGGAGGCGAGACTGGCACCCGGTGCCTTACTTAACCGAGCGTACAAATTGAAACTTGTGTTATCTGAACATATATGACTGCTTAGGCCGACAAGGCCAACTGAATAGCTTTCTGCAATATCTTATGCCAGCAAGGCCATAACTCACAAAAATTCGAGGAATGAACAACTACGAACTGAATGGGAAGAAATCCAAAATATAATACATATACAGGCCGACAAGGTCACCATGCTGACCCATACTGTCCGAATATACAACAAACTCTAGACCTGGTAACTCCGGATGATGTGGAGCTTACCAATCAAGCTGTACACTAGCATGCCTACTGCCGAGGCCTATTTCTCTGACTATCGGGACCTGCAAGCATGAGATGTAGCACCCCCCGCAAAAGGGGCATCAGTACGAAATAATGTACCGAGCATTTAAGGCAACTGAATAACTGAAACTGAATTGACATACATGATATATAGAATGTAATCTAAGGAGTCAATGATAATCTGGAAGCATACTTACCTATCTCTGGCTCATATCATATAAGTAGTACGAGTAGTGAAATAAACTATCCGGCCTTATATAGGGCTCGGTGTGTATATGTATAGCCCCATAGGCAACTGTATAGCCCCGTAGGCAACTGTATAGCCCCGAAGGCATCTGTCTAGCCCCGAAGGCATCTGTCTAGCCCCAAAGGCATGGCGCACATCTGTCTAGCCCCGTAGGTGTATAGTAAACAATAAATGACACATGTATACTCTCTATTTCTCAACTAGACATGGAATAATGCTAAACTGGATAGGAATTCCCAACAAGGGATAGCTACGTCACGAGCAAGATGGAATAACACAACATGAGATCTTTACCAATGACTTTTCTTGGGTATACAATGTTCGGAACTTACTTAACTATGGGTTCATGCCATCGAAAGAAGAGAAATGGCCTTTACATACCTTTCGTCAACTGTTCAACAACTCAATACACTTAACTTGAGCAGCACCTCAATCTACAATCAATAATAATGATGCTATCGTCAAGCTACGATGATACAACTATTATATATCGAACGACAAGGCTATTCTATAAAAAAAAGGGCAGCATCTCCCTATTTTTTTTACAACCTCAGGTTCCCAATAACAACAACAATCACAACAACTAGTAACTACACATTTAGCTCTTCAACCAACACAAACGATACGTCGAGCGACAAGCTCGACTCACAACTAGTAAAGCTACACTTTAAACCCTTCTTTCTTTCAAGGTACATAGCAACAACCTTAACAACATACTCAAGTCTTACTTCATGATTTCCAGCTATAAAACAACATAAAAGCAACTCCAAAACAGTCCAGCAAATATAACAAGCTATATATGACTTTTGATAGCTGATTCCGCAAGTTCTTACTTCAACAACTTAACCAAGACTTAGGTATGCGCAAAGACATGTTGAAGAAGGAGATTCTTACCTTACACAACACGAACAACCCCTAACTTAAGCTTACTTCAACTTGAAGGAATCCACAAATCAACTACAACAAGAAAAGAACAAGCTTATATGAGTACTACGATCTTTGCGAAGGAAGAATTACCTCATAACCTTGGTGGGATTTGTTTGAATGATAGGGAATGGCTTTGGGAGAATTTAGGGAGCTTAGGGTTCTGTTTTGGATGAAAAATGAAGTGAGAAAAGGGCTGCCCCACTTTACAACATCAAAATATAATCTCCACCGCCTATGTGGTTCTCGATAGGGCTGCCTGTGCATTCCGGCTAAAACGCTCATATCTCCTTATGCCGATATCTTATCGACGAACGATTTAATGCATCAGAAATTGGACTTGTAGAACTTCAATTTGGTGGGTGAATTACCCCGTAACTCCTAGTATTTTGGGAGAAAAACTTAGTGACATCAGACCCAAATTTCAGTAAACTTTTGAACATAGCTTGCGATAACTTTTGCTGGCTTTTGATTTACAACTTGCTTGACTTCAATACTTATCATACGACTATTATATGATTCAAATACCTTATCAAAAGACCTTCTGTTGAATTTGAGAAGAAAAAAAAACTTTTTTGTATATTTTAATATCTGTACAACCTATGTATTAGGATATTTATACAACCTTCTATCATCTAGATACCCAGCCCAATCCACATCTGTTTAGGCCTCTATCCGAGGTGACCATGTTTAAAGAACAACAAGCCTTTCCCCGGAGCAGACTTCAAATACCGCAAAATATGGAAGACAGCTTGCATATGAGAGTCTTGGGGATCATGCATAAACTGACTCACTAAGCTTACTGAATAAGCTATGTCTGGTCTAGTATGAGAGAGATAAATAAGCCTTCCAACCAGCCTCTGACATCTCTCCTTATCAATTGACTTTCCAACCCCTGTTTGTAGCTTATGATTGCACTCAATGGGTGATTCTGTTGGTTTGCAACCAATTATACTAGTTTCTTTCAAGAGATCCAGAATGTACTTTCTTTCAGAAATGAAGATTCCACTTTTTGATCTAGCAACCTCAATTCCCAAGAAATATTGTAGTTTTCCTAGATCCTTGATCTCTAATTCTTGTGCCAACAGTTTCTTCAATCGGGTTAATTCCGCTTTGTTATCTCTTGTCATTACTATATCATCAACATAAACTATGAGAAGAGTGAGTCTACCGCTTTACTATCTAATAAAGAGAGTATGATCAGCATTGCTTTGCTGGTAACCAAAGGAGATCATTGCTTTGCTGAATCTGTCAAACCAGGCTCTAGGAGATTTCTTCAATCTGCACACCTTTCCTTGACTCTCCTCAGTGTCAAATCCAGGAGGGATCTTCATATGCACCTCTTCTTCTAAGTCTCCATGAAGAAATGCATTCTTCAAATCGAACTGTTGTAAGTCCCAATCAAGATTAGCTGCACAAGACAAAAGAATTCTGATAGTGTTCATTTTAGCAACAAGGACAAATGTCTCTTGATAATCCACTCCATAAGCCTGAGTGAATCTTTTAGCCACCAATCTTGCTTGGAATCTTTCAATTGAGCTGTCAGTTTTGTGTTTCACAGTGAAGACCTAGTTGCAGCCAACCAAGTTCTTGTCTGGTGGTGAAGTGACAAGTTCCCATGTTTTATTTTTTGACAAGGTCTTCATTTCTTCATTCATACCTTGCTTCTATTTAGGATCTGCGAAAGCTTCTCTCCAATTTTGGGGGATTGACACAGAAGAAATAGACAAGGCAAAGGCTTTATAGGAGGGAGGCAAAATTAGATAAATGATGTTTGGTGGTGTAAGATCTCACTGCTTTTCTGTGAGCAATAGGCAGATTTAACTCATTAGGAAATGTACATACTCACCAATAGAAAGGTTCAGCTTCGGCAGATTGCATGATGACTTCTTCTACTCTATTTCTCCTTGAGTAAGTTTTCAAATTAGGCCTATCCAAACGCCAAATAGTCTCGCCCTGAATTCTTTCTCCAATTTCATTTTCCCCCTGGTAGTGGCAATGGTTTCAAAAGTGGAACTTAGGAATCATCTCTTCCTCTTATAGCTCCCCCCGAAGAGGCGATGGTGTAATATTGAAATAGGGTTCAGATTCTCGAAAGGTAACATCCATGCTAACAAAGGATCTCCTGGAGGGAGGATGATAACGTTTGTGCTCTTTCTGTGTTGGAGAATACTCAATAAAGACACACTTAAGAGCTCTAGGATCAAGTTTCCCAGAGTTTCTAGTGTGAATGTGAACAAAGCAGACACCCAAATACCTTCAGAGGAACAATATAATCATTCTTACCCTTTAAAGCTTGCAAAAGACTCTGTAAATTGAGGGTTTCAAGTGGAATTCTATTGATGAAGATATGCAACTACTAGAATGGCATCCACCCATTAAGGTTTTGGTAGATTCATGGTAAACATAAGAGATCTAGTCACTTCTAACAAATGCCTATTTTTTCTTTCAGCAACCCCATTTTGTGCACTAGTATAAGGACAACTGGTTTGATAGATTATCCCATAAGACTCCAAATAAGCACCAAAATTTTTATCCATGTATTCTGTGCCATTGTTAGTTCATACGATTTTTATCTAGCCTCAAATTGAGTACTAATCAGCTTATGAAAAGACTGAAAGCAGGAGAAAACTTCACTTTTGGCCTTTAACAAATACACCCAACCATCCTAGTGCAACAATCAATAAAGGTAACAAACCATCGACTGCCAGACAAAGAAACTGTTTGAGTGGGACCTCATACATCAGAATGAATAGTCTAAAAAAGGTGTCGTGCTTTTATTATACTCAAAGGATAAGAGTTTCTAGTATGCTTGGCAAATTCACAAGCATTACAAAATAAAGATTCAAACTCGGTTCTAGAAAACAAACTGGGATATAACTTCTTTACAGCAAAAAATGATGGGTGCCCCAACCGTCTATGCCACTGTATTATTTCTTGGTTGACATCTTTATTTCCTCCAAAATAGGCCTGAACAAAGTCTCGAGTTCCATCAATCCAATATAAGTCATCATGCAATCTACCATTGCCAATCCTCTTCCTTATTTGAAGATTGTGAAAAACACAATATCAGGAAAGAACTTGACACTAAAGTTTAATTTTTTGGTGATGGTGCTAACAGATAATAGGTTAACGGGAAACTAAGGTACATGGAGGACATATGATAATGTAATATCAGGTGTACGGACAACCGAACCTGTTCCAGAGATATGAGTTAGGGAGCCATTGACTATTCTGACATAATCCCCGTTGGGACTTGGAGAGTAGTTTTGAAAGCCTTAGGGGAGCCTGTCATGCGTCTATTTGCACCAGAATCAATAAACCAAGAATTAAGGTGAACATTAAAGGCAATACTGATTGGAAGTAGCAACATTAGAAGAGTCAAGTTTATTCAGGAGACGACGAAGATGCCTAACTTCATCCAAAGACAATGCTTCTCAAGAAGTAGTTTACTTGGATCTCTCTATATTTTCTGCAATATTAACCTGACCCGTTGATGGACCTACACGTTTTCCTCCACGACCTCTAGTTTGTCTACCATGTAGTTCCAACATGTCTCCTTTGTATGCCTTGGCTTTCTACAGTAATCACAGTGCTTGTAATCTTTATCACAAGTGAATGCCTTTGGTTGCTCACTAGACACAGTTAACCCGGACTTCTCCATTGGTACTGAATAAAGCATGACTTCTCGTCGGCTCTCTTCCTGTTGAACATAAGAATATGCATCCTCAAGAGAAAGAAAAGGAACTGTACTGAGAACTTGAACCTGATATGATCATATTCTTGGTTCAAACTGGCCAGAAAATCATAGACCCTTTCCTTCTCAACCAATTGTTGAAAGAGAACTACATCATCAGTACGCTTTGCTTGGAGATCTTGATAACAGTCAATCTCTTGCCACAACCCACTTAACTCGGAATACTAATCAGTGATAGTCAATTCACCTTGCTTAGCTGCATGAATTTTATTTCGAATTTCAAAAATCTGGGCATCATTTCCCTTGCGAGAGTAATGTAATGGGCGGCTTTCCAGCCATGCCCCATGGCCCCTTGGACGCGCCCCATGGCGTCCTAGCAAGCCTCCCAACGCCTAGCACCATGGACGACCCCGTGGCCTTGGCTGCGCCAAGTGACAAGCGCTCATGTGCCTCTGTCGCCCCACCGATAGCCCTCGCCAGCGCCCAGCCGCAGGCAGATACCAATAGCGCCGCGCGCGCAGACAGCGCCGCGCACGCAGACCGTGATGCCAAAGACAAGGTTGCTGACAAAACCTATTTCTACCTTGTAGAAAACTAAGTCCTTTTCATTATAAATATAGAGTAGTTTTATTTCATGTACTTCTATTATGTTTCTCTAGCTTAGTTAGGTCAAGTCTTGTAACTTTGGTTTTTTTTTAAGCACTATTAGGGGGATCAAGCAATCAAACTTTCTAGCAAGCAAACAATTCTCTGTACTGGTGTCTTTCCCCCTCGACACCGTGTTACTTTTCTGTAATAGCTTTCATTAATGCAATCAAGCTTTCTTTCATTCTCAATTCTCATTTTTGTTCTCTCAATTGCTCTTGACATGGGGTTTCTTGTACGTCACTGACAATCTCGTCTAGCGTACGGAGGGGAGCTTAGTTGGCGGATAGTAACTGCACTAACATCAGTTTCTTAGCCTTACGTCGCCCTTCCAAGGAATCTCAAGAAGGCGCCGCGTAACAGTAAGTGCGCATTAGTTGAATTTTTTTGACAAGGTAAATTGCATTAATAAAAGGGAGGAAAAACTCCCGTATACAAGAAGTATACCAAAAAGTAGAGAATTTACATCAAAACATGATTCTCTACGAAAGACGCCCAATTTTTCTATACAAGTAAGGGCTATATGAGTGCACCAAAAAGCGATCAAAGTGTGCATTAGTTGAATTCCAGAAATTTTTCAGAAGTATCAAGCAATAAATACTGTTTAGAAGTTCGAGGGTGCATTGTATTCAACAACCATGTCATAACAAGGGAATTATTCAGAATCCCATTGGCTATAACTAGCATCAGTCACAACGAGTGCTTTCTTTTCTCCCGTAATATAACCAAGTAGCTTTCTAGACTTAATAAAAAGCTGACCAAGCAAGATATGTACCAACCCCTTCTAATTTTACCACACTAATTTGTGAAATACCATGTGAAATAGTATTGTCTACAGAATTGGTAACTACTGCCGTTGAGTCTCCCATAATTTGAAAAAATAACAGTTCAAACAAAAAATAAATCTTTTCTGCAGAATCAAGGAGCAGTGAACCTGGTTACTCTTCAAAGAAGAAATATGGGAGAGCTGGCTGAAAAAAATTGGTTCTAATACGTTGGAACCGTACCTCTACTGCTCCAAAATTGCTGAAATTGATAAGGTAGGCTCGAAATGTGTCGGCGACACCCAGGGAGAAAAACTCGACCTCTTTGATACAAAAGGAACCCTAGCGTTGCAGAGGGAGATAACTCTCCTCAAAAAGGCAACAATGTCTGTGATACCATGTTGAATTTGAGAAGAAGAAAAGGCTTCTTTGTATATTTCAATATCTGTACAACCTCTGGACTAGGATATTTATACAATCAGTCCTATCTCTAATTTAGGAAAGACAATCAAAGACAATAATGCTAATTACAATTAAATAAAATAAGATCCCTATAATTAAGCTAATCAAATAAGATCCCTATAATTAAGCTAATCAAATCACTAGAATTAAGCTAATCAAATATTCAATACCTTCTTAGCATGTTAACAACTCCTAGTATTACCCCAAAAGTAAGGTTATAACATCGGCCCATACCTCCAATGTACGGTTCGAAAGTGACTCCATAAGTTGGGAAATTTTGCCGATACTTATTCTTTTCGATTCAATTAACTTCTAACTTTTCCAACATATACTTAACACTTATTAAACATGGTATAAACACTTATAATCCTTAAAGATACTCTTACACTTCGAGCTCACATCGATTACCTTACGTCGCAACTTGACGTACGAAAATACGGGATGTAATAGGTATCATTTATTTTGGGACAAGCTAAGACGGAAAGTGTCTCACATAAATTGGGATTGAGGGGTTACTACTTCCCTTTTCTTGTTGACTATATATATTATGAAAAATTGGTAATCTTCATTGCTATTGTCGCCACAAGTTTCCAATTAGACCTGGAGACATTAACAGGAAGCCGGGCATTTGTAATTTCCCTGTTTTTCAGGAGAAACATTAGTGTCATTATGCTCTAATTTCTCAATTATTTAATTCTTATGCACCATGTTGTATGTTCCCTCAGTATTTAAATCTTTCAACAGTCAGATAAGTCAATATTCAGGCTAAGTACATATTTTCTTCTTGCAGTCTATCTTCATTCTTATATAGGCCTTGCGGCTGCTTAAAGTCTGTTTTAATGTGTTGTTCCTTGCTTCACTCAAGCAGATATTTATTATTTTTTGTCTTTTGATAAGTATTGAACAAAATATAGTTCCATGAATTGTTTTTGGATTGGATATCTAACTTTGCCTTATTTCCACGTTTGCATGCAGAGATGCTTTCAAACATGAATTAACTTTGCTAGAAAAAGTACGGCATCCAAATGTTGTTCAGTTTGTTGGAGCAGTCACACAAAATATACCAATGATGATAGTCTCTGAGTATCATCCAAGGGTAGGCTCTGTCAATCTCTTAACGCTAACCTACCGCCTAACAACTTTGCTTGTTCACCTCTTTTATCAATTCAATTTATGTTAATATACATCTAGAAGTGAAACCTTCATTGGCAAGTTCTTGTGGCACAAAAGAACACCTTTTAAGGTTTCTTTCTGATGATGGGACTTCTAAAGAACAAAGTTTCAACAGATTAAGGGATTCAAAGAGTTGGTATCATGATCCACTCAAGATGTAGTTGTTGTACCAGACATCAACAGGAGACAAGCTCACATCTATTTGGTGATAGTGACATTGCTAGACAGGTTTGGAATTATTTCTCCAGTACATGTGGCATAAGGCATACAACAAGATCAGTTAGGAGTTTGGTGATGCAGTGGTGGCGGACTATACCAAAGAACGAAGTGCATAGGGTTCTATTACAGTGTCTTCCATCTGTAATTTGTTGGGAAATATGGAAGAACATGTGTACAGCAAGGTTTGAGAATTTATATATGTCTAGTAGGTATATCATCTGGCAGGTGTGTCACTTAATGTCATTGATTCTGCAATGTCAATTCTCTAAGTTAATTTACCTGTAACATGAGATGACAAGTGTGCTTATGTGGAGAAATTACAACAAGTTATCCACAGTCAATTGGTGATATGGTCCAGACCTGAGGAGGGGTGGATGAAAATGAATGTAGATGGCTGTAGCAAGGGGAATCCCGGGAGTGCTGGAGAGGGTGGCATAATAAGGGATCATCATGGGCATATGATTTTAGCATTTGCTGGTTACTTTGGTATTTGTAGTAACAATGTGGCTGAAGCTATGGCAATTCTACAAGGGTTGCGTATCTGTATTGATAGAGGTTTTCTTAAGATTATTGTTGAATCTGATTCTGTTATGTTGGTTAATATAATCAATAAGAAAGTCAGACCTCCATGGCAGATTCATAGCATCATGGCACAAATAGGGTAGTTGATCCAGAAGGGATCCTTCCTTTTTATTCATATATTCAGGGGAGGAAATGTGATTGCTGACCAAATGGCATGTTTGGGTGAGAAAGTCAGGAACCAGATTGTCTTCACTGAAGATCTTTCCTTGCCTAGGCAAGTTAGAGCTTACTTGAAGCAAGAACAGGATGGCTTCCCAAATTTCAGATTTAGGCCAAAGAAGAATCTCTTCTCTGTTAGTAATGGCTGAGATGAAGGAGCTTAACTATGTTATACACTTAAACTGCTTAGCTTTGTGCTTTATAGTTGACTCTTCAAATATTGTAATGGAGGAGTCCTCCCATATCGTAGCTACATCTCTCTTGCATTTTTGCATAGGAATGTCTAGCAGAACTGTTCATCATGCTCTGGAGGCTATGGTTTATGTCCTCCTCCATGTACTTTTGTTATTTGATTTATATACAGGTTAGGGCTACTCCTAACTCCCACCAACTTGGTGGATCTTTTGACTTAAAAAAAAACATTGGTTAAATTTTTAGCTTGAGTTGGCAACAGTTTCAATTTCCACGTTGAGGAGATCTTGATTCTTATGAATTTTGTATGCCAATGATCTCAATTTTTATGTTAGCCTTGCAATTATGACAATTGGCATTACATGCGCTATTTGTGACTTTTCAGGGTGACTTAGGTAGCTATCTGCAAAAGAAGGGACGTCTATCTCCTTCTAAGGGGCTACGATTTGCTCTTGATGTTGCTAGGTAAGTCAATCTTTGATTTGTCATACAAAGTGAATTGATCTCTCATGCTTGGATCAGTCTTTTGGCAATTCCTTTACTCATTGGCAAGTTGTGATTTTTCAGTTATTTATTTTATCTCAACGTGTCTATATTGTGCCATGTTGGTCGATTTTCAGGGGTATGAACTACCTTCACGAATGCAAACCAGACTCAATTATCCATTGTAATCTAAAGCCAAAGTAAGGCAACTAAATGCTTTAGTTGTCCAAGGCTGTTATGACCATTTTCACTGTTCTCAGTGGGATATCCTATTGTTTTTAATATTCGAAATTTTGGTAAGGTGCCAGAAATATTTTGCTGGACAATGGAGGTCTCCTGAAAGTTGCAGGATTCGGTCTGATTAGATTGTCAAAAATTTCACCTGACAAAGCAAAGTTGGTGCAGCCGGAGGCTGTTGACCGTTCAAGTAAGTTTTTCAAATTTCAAGTATATAAACATTAAATTATAATATTTCTAAATATGGAGAAAACATTCTTGTTTGATGGTAAGTTTTGATAAATCAGAAACTTTGGTTATGAATTGGAGCATATTGTTTAGCATGAAAGAATCACCTTTGATTGAACCTGCTGTGTTTCTGTTGATTACTTTACTCGTCATTTGTTTTTCACTTATAGGTCCCTATGTGGCACCTGAGATTTATAAAGATGAAATATTTGACCGGAATGTGGACATATATTCATTTGGCATTGTACTCTATGAGGTATGATTTCCTTTTATTAGATACTTCAATTCATGCTATAGCTTAATTTGGAAAGAGTGTCCCATTTAGGTGCAGCTCTTACTGATACTTGGATGATGTTGATTTATTGAGAATACAATTCAATCCTCTATTTATCCTGATATCAGGCTATCAGCCTTCTGGAACTGTGATACTCTGCTGCTTCACATTCTATTCACCAAGAATTTTATTTTACTTTGTTTGGCTCAGATGATGGAGGGAAGACCACCTTTTCATACCAAGTCTCCTCAAGAGGCCGCTAGAATGATGTGCTTAGAAGGCCAAAGACCAGCATTCAAATCGAAATCCAAATATCCTCCAGAGCTTAGAGAGTAAGTCCCGCTATTTATTGTTTTTGTTATCATTACTTGGGGTATAATCACATGTTGTGCAGTTCATATGCGCTTATATATTAGCAACATATTATTCCAGTTTAATATGGTCTTCTGTTATGTACCCCTAGCCATTGAAGGGTATCATGAATTCTTTTTGAAGGGCGTCAGGAAAGATTTCCTTTCTGCTGCTTTGGTTTTGTAAAAAGGATGTATATGTTTCATTTTCTTCCGTGTCTCGATCCAAAATCCCACCAAGTCGTGAATACACCTAACCCAACCCACTAAGTAAGTCAACTAACATAAGTCACAATTCGAACCGGGAATCATCAAATAAATAGTGAAATAAGAATACGAAAATCAACACAACTATCCCCACGAACTGATAGAATAGAACAAGTCATGAGCTACTAATACAACATTTGTTTGAATATAAATAAACAGAAATACAGAATTCTAGGCTGCCACGAAAGAATGTCAGCTAATAACTGGAATGCTGATGTCTTCAATGCTCATCCTCGAATGCCGCAGCCGCTAAGCTCCAAAATCTACACGCAAGGTGCAGAAGTGTAGTATAAGTACAACCGACCCCATGTACTTAGTAAGCATCAAGACTAACCTCAACGAAGTAGTGGCAAGGTTTAGTCTAAAGATACTCACTTCATATAACCCGTGCAGCTCATAAGCATATACAATAATAGAAAGACAATCAAGAAATAACCAAGGAACAACAGGTATTAATAATAAAGGTGCACACACGAAGAAAGAGATAATAAGCATGTTTTTCCAATTGAATGGGTCAAAGCATATACAGATGCACCAAATTTGCATACAAAGAAGATATGCACCAAGTAGCATTAGCTCGAATATTCCTACATGAATATAGAATGTCTATACATGATAAAGATCCAATTCCTTATCAATTACTCCCTTCGTTCCAGTTTATGTGAACCTATTTCCTTTTTGGTCCGTTCCAAAAAGAATGATCCCTTTCTACATTTGGAAACAATTTAGCTTAAACTTATGATTCTACCCTTAATGAGAAGCTTTTATAACCACACAAATACTCTGGACCCCTTTTTGACTTGTTTAGGACCACACATTCCAAAAGTCTTCATTTTTTCTTAAACTCCATGCCCAGTCAAACAGGTTCACATAAATTGGAACGGAGGGAGTACCAATTAGCATTTATTCTTATGCTTCTACATGAGTTTAAAATGTCTATGCATGATGAAGAGTACAAGATCTGTGTACCCAACTCTGCCAATGAATCATATTCATGTATTAAATGCACCGGCCAAATACATAGATAGCCTATTAAACTTGGCCCAATTTTTCATTTTGGCACTTTAACTCAGCCTTGTTCCATTTTGGCCCTCCAACCACATTTGTTTTGTTCCACTTTGACACAAAAGCTGACTAGATTCCATGTGTGATTTGCCTCACCCTTGTAGGAGCGTGAGAGCCATTTTTTAAGCCAAATTTCATACTCCCAACGTAGAGGCGGATCCAGAATTTAAATCCTATGGATTTAATTTTAATGTTTTTAACATTGAACCCATTATATTTTTAAAGTTATGGGTTTATATATTTTTTTTTTACAATTTTAATAAATTTTTACACACAAATTTTTACTCCGNGGGGGGGGACCAGCAGTGGTGGGGTGCGTTTTTTTTTAAAAATGGAAGAAGATAGATCGTCGGGAAGAAGAAGGAGGGGTTATATTTTAGGCCAAATACATAGACAACCCATTAAACATGACTCAATTTTTTATTTTGGCCCTCCAACTCCTTTTATTTTGTTCCACTTTGACACAAAAGCTAACTAGATTCCATATGTGATTTGCCTCACCCTTGTAAGCGCGTGAGAACCATTTTTTAAGTCAAATTTTATACTCCCAACGTAGAGGCGGATCCAGAATTTAAATCCTATGGATTTAATTTTAATGTTTTTAACATTGAACCCATTATATTTTTAAAGTTATGGGTTTATATCTATTTTATTTTANGTCAAAGTGGAACAAAAGAAATGGGGTTGGAGGGCCAAAATGGAACAAGGCTGAGTTAAAGTGCTAAAATGAAAAATTGGGCCACGTTTAATGGTTTGTATATGTATTTGGCCAAATGCACCAAATAGCATATGTAGATGGCATGCGTGAGTATGATGTGAAACTATGCATGAACACACACCCCCAACACAACTCCTGTGTGCCTGACACAAGATCCATGTGTCCAATACCAAGCACCAATCTAGTGCCTATGCTCACAAGGCTCAAATGGGTAATTACCTGACTCCAGAGGGACAATACCATATCCAAGCAGCGATACAGGAACCCATTGTCATGGGAACTCACCGAATCACATCAATAACAATTCACACGGCAGAAACCTCGTGCCACAATATTTATCTCAATATAAATCCGCTCATACTGTCCCAATGTGCCTTAATATCATCAATGCGTATTAAGATTTCCATTTCCAATGATGTATGCATATGCCTCGGAGCTAATCAATAAAATGTGCTAGGACATGATAAATAAAGATGCGGGGATGTATGCAAGTACTCATGAGATGATCCCTAAGTATGGCATATGCGTGTGTATAACGTATGACTACAACTACAACATGTAATTTGTCATTCAATAACCATCAACTCCAAATAAAGCATCAAATGCCTAGACATGGCCTCTAACCAAGATAATAAGGTTCAAGCAGTCATACAATAATTTTAGGCATTTTCCGAGAATATTAGGTGTAGATGCGTATTCATAATAATAAGTGTGACTACGGCTAAATCAAGTATATCAACAATCTTAAGGATAGCCCATCATGCTTAAATAAGGTATCAACCTAAACATTGTCTCTAGCATGATTCATTGTGTTCACGTAGTCATTCAATCAATTAAAGCACATAACAAGTAGAACACACAACCAAACAAGGCATAAAGAAGCCAAAAATCCACCCAGAACATGATATTACCTCGGTATTTGCATATAGCTCGTCACCTCACATATACGTCACGTTCCCCGAGCATGTAGCATATAGATTTATTTTAGAAAAATTTCCCTCAAGCTAAGATTAAGCAAGATACTTACCTCCTTCCAAAATAACTTCAACTCTCCAACAAATACTTTCCTTTGTTATTAGCCTCCAAATGTCTCAAATCTAGTCAATCAACACTTAAGGAAGTCAAATAGTACCTTAGGAATCAATCCCAATCCATAAGGCTCCAATCTTTAATGAATTTAGAAAAAGTCAACAAAAGTCAATCGGGGCCCTCTTCATCAAAACCCAAAATTGGAATTGGATCTCGATTACCCATGAGCCGTGGAACCCAAATCTATAATCAAAATTCCATTTTAATGTCATTAGCATGCTTAAATCAACAATTCTCTATTTCTAGGTTTTCTTCCATTTCTCATTTGATTTCTCCCAAATCCTTGATTTCATGTTAAAATTAACTTGATGATAAAAGTGAATTAGAATCACTTACTCCATCGTGGTTGATGTAGAAGTTGGTCAAAACCCCTCAAAACCGAGCTCCCATTCTCCAAAATTGGAGAAAAATGCCAAAAACACGAAATGGGCTCTATTTATACTGTGAAGAATCATCTGGAGTTAAAAATACAATGCCGCAACGGCCCCCCATGTCGCGGTAGTGCTGCAACCTTGAACACTCTGCTGACCAAAACAACTCTGCCACCCTTCAGTAAAATGATCATAACTTCGTGCTCAGATGTAAGAATGACGAACGACTTGAACCACAAGAAACTAGACTTAAAGGGCTACAATCTCATCAAAACCTCATCCCAAAATTCTTTATAATAGATTGGGAGACATGCACTTTTGAAGTCAAGCCAACTGCAGAAAAGCCCTGTTTCAACAACTCAATTCTTCCAAAACTTGCCCCAAATGCGCCGAAACTTACCCAAACCCCTAAGGACTTCATCCAATCATTCCTACAAGTTCAAATGTCATATATGGACTTGTCCAAATGGTCAAAACATCCACGGGAACATCACAAGGAATCGAGGCTCAAATTGAATAGAATTTCTCTTAAATTGTTAAATCTTCATTCTTTCAAAAGAGTGTCCGAATCACACTTTGATGCTTCGGCTTACTTCCAAACTTTGCACTCAAGTTCAATTCAACTATATAGACCTATCCAAAGCCCCGAAATATCAATCAAAGTCCAATAACATCAAAGTCAACTCTTGGTCAAACTTATGAACTCTTAAGTTCTTCAAATTGCCAACTTTCGGCAAATAATGTCGAATTCTTCTAGGAACCAACAAAATCAAATCCAAACATATGTACAAGTCCAAAATCATCGTACTAACTTATCGGAACCATCAAAACTCAATTCAAACCTTGGTCAACTCTCTTAACTTAAAGCTTCCATTAGGAACTAAGTGTTCCAAATCACTCCCAAACCTCTTTGGACCAAAATTATCCATACTCGCAAGTCATAAAACATTAAATGGACCTACGGAAGTCAGAAATCACAAAACGAGATGCTAGAACTCAAAATGACCGGTTGGGTCGTAATATTCAGCCATTGATTTTTTCTTGGCTCGATGATTTAGTACAAACTCCAGGCCGGTGCAAGTGCAACTAGCATGTTGTTGAGCTCATGCCTTTTCCTGCAATTTCTTGTACTCTTCTTGTCAGACCTTCCCAGATCTTGAGCATTTAGGTGAAACGCTCATCTTTTGATGTCCATCTATGACAAGATTAAATAACCGAAACTTTGTTGTGCGCATGACCTCATTAATTTCTCTTTAATATGCTTAACTTTAAAGAGTAGCAGAATAAGCTTTTGGATAATTAACATTGGCTTATGGGCATTTCAATCCCTACATACTCTCAGACCAGTGCACTACCTCCATGCCCCTAAGCAGGGAGAGATGGTTTCTTGCAGTACACTATTGGTATTAGGCTTATTAGATTTGGCGTGCAGTCAGTCCGATACTTGTGTTCCCTCTTGACTTCTGCTCAATGTATTGTATTTCTAGGTTGATTGAAGAATGTTGGGATCCAGAAGCTTTTGTACGGCCGACATTTTCTGAGATCATTGTGCGGATGAATAAAATTGCTGCTTACTGCTCAAAACAAGGATGGTTGAAAGATACTTTTAAGCTTCCTTGGTAACGGTTCTGTTGCCTATTAATTATATATCCTAGAAATTGAACATTTGTTTATATTATGAAAAAGAGCCTTGAACTAAGAGAAAAAAAGAAGTCAGAGTTCTTGACAATTTTGCGAAACTCGGGATTGTGACTATGTAATGTGTTAGAAGCGTAGGATTGTTAAGACACACTCTCTCTCACACACACGTAGGCATGTGCGCAACACACAGATTCACACTCAATTGATTATGTCAATATCTACAAAAGAAAATAACTGACTTGATTAACAATTTAAAGGGGAAGTGAGTTGATAGCCGCTCAGATGATAAAACAGAGCAAAGCACACTCATGCGATGTAATTATAAGCTTGATGTACTGTTATTCAAGAACTTGTCGATGGGTTTAGAACCCCCTACATTTTTAAGTGTTGCTCTATCAAAGAGTTTCAATTTTAGCAGCACCTAAGAGTTTGACCTAGTGGTTAATGAAGTGGGTTAAGAATTATAAGGTCTCGGGTTCAAATTCCAACGGAGGCAAAATATTAGGTGATTTCTTACCATCTTTCCAAGCCTTGATGGACAGAGTTAGCTGGTCTTGTTGTTGGTGGGAGATAGCAGATATTCCATAAAATTAGTCGAGGTGCAAGCAAGTTGGCCTGGACACCACGGTTAGAAAAAAAAAAAGAGTTCCAATTTTACCAAGGTGACCAAATGTGTCCGTCATTCTAGCATATGTTGTTAGGTGTCAATGGTGCTGAAAATATATTCAGGTGGTGGCCATGTCAAATTTGTAAACCAGATTTGTTAACTTTATTTTCTCCAAATTATTTTCCTTGGCACAATATCAACTACGTGTGACGTGCCAATAAAAATACTTTACAATATTGGTTTGCCATTGCAAGGAATATTTGCAAAATGAATTCAATTATGTGTTGGTCTATGCTACTAATACTGATTCTCTTCCTTACCTAATTCAACACATCTTTGGTGCAGGTTATAAGCGTGCATACAAAGTGCAAAGACGTGGACAAAAATGAACACAATTGAGCTTATCAGCGGAAGATTCTCGTGGAGCTTTCCACTCAAAATTGATCGTGCGGAAACATATGATAAACCTAATAAGCAACCTTCTATTCGCGTGATTCCTTGAAAGCTTTATATTGTGGTTAACCAAATAAAAGGCAGATTTGCAGGGTGAAGGAAATGGGGTTACCATTAAATCATGGCTCTCCCATGTTGTCTCCTGTTCTCAGTAAGTTTGACCTCCACTATATATATATATATGAAGCATCTTTGTTTAATCTATAGTATTTGAACACGGTGTGAACCAAGTATATTTTGCTTTACGAGGGGAAAACAAAAGGTTATATAAGAAAAACTGGATACTACTGCATATCCATCTATTTCTATTCTTCTTATTTTCCTTTTCTTGTTTGATTTTTAAAGAACACTACCATTCCATTTTCTCTTCTTGCCGTCCCATTCCTTTCTTCCTGAACAAATTGTAAACACATTCAATTTCATAAGATAAAGGTAGATGTTTACCTGGAACTAGCTTCTTTCAATTAACAATTGCCTTCCGTTAGAAGTTTGTAACAAAATGAAACAGCTGCTTGACCATTCCCTATATATTGTTACCATTTCCGAGTACACTTGATACCTCATTCATTCCCAAACGTTCTCAAAGTAAGAGTCAATATACTAGTCATGTCTATGTGGATTCAACTAAGTGAAACCCTCACAAGGATTTATATACTACAAAGAACAAACAAGCCCTTATTTAATGCCAGCAATATTATCCCAAACTTGGGGAATTATTAATCTTGAAGGGAAGGTTGAATGAACATAACATACAGCTTTGATAGCATTGCGATCTATTGCTAGAAACTAGCAATTCAAAGTATAAAGATGCAAGAAACCTTTGAAACAAAGTCCTCAATGTTTTTGTCAGAACTACCACATTCAATGACTGCTTTTAGAGTTGACTCCTTCCACTGAGTAACATTGTTTTTTTTATCTTCTTCTTTCTGTCCCCCTCTATGACTTCTTTTACACAAGTTTCAATTTCTTCACTTGTGGCAATTCTCTTCTCATTAACTTTAACTCGCACTCCAACTTTCAACACATCTGCCATAAACTTGGTGTTGGTCTTTTGATCCACCCATACAGGCATACCTATTATTGGCACTTCCAAACACAATGTCGAATTCCATCCATAATGAGTCATGAAACATGATATGGCTCTATGTGATAGTACCTCCAGTTGGAGACATCATCTCAAAACTGAACCTTCCTCAGATGTTTTTTTCGATTCTTCAGAATCTCTCACCGCCCACAAAAAATGACAATTGCTTTGTGCTAGACCCCATGCTAATTCCTCCAACTGTTCTCCTCCAAGTACGGCACTACTGCCAAATGATACATAGACGACAGATGAACTATCTTTTGTGTTTAACTCACTCTGTGGCTTAAAGAGATTAATCCGATCATTTTCTTCTGATATCTCATCAACTGACGAATGTAGTGATGGAACCAAAGGTCCAATGATCATAATAATTGGCCATTGGCTTGCCATCCAGTTGATTGCCCCCGCCCCCCTCTCTCTCTATATATATATATTATTTATTATTATTATTATAAAAGCTCGAATGTTACACGGTAAATGTCGAACAACAAAAATATTCCCGAAATATTGACAGACTTTTCTACACTTCATATTTAAATTATGTCTTCAACATTAATAATGTCCAAAAACGTAAAAATAGTTAATTAGTAGAATTCAAGTCTTTGTAAACTAAAGTACTAAACTAACGGTCCTATTTGTATTAGAACTCCAATGCCAAAGCGACGCCTTAAATGTTTGTTTACAGAAAGGGTTTTGCCAATGCTTTTAGCTTATTACGTTCTATATTGATGTTGGCAATTTCTTTTAAATTTAAGGCAAAACCTTTCTGTAAACAAACATTTAAGGCGTGGCTTTGGCATTGGAGTTCTAATACAAATAGGACCGTTAGTTTAGTACTTTAGTTTACAAAGACTTGAATTTAGAATCTAACGCTTTGTTATGATTTAGTGATAAGCAAATTGAAATAGAAGAATTATGCTTAACTTACGTCTCCAATTTGTAAGTAAATAAAGTATCCTATTTATTTAGGAGTTAAAAATATTTTGGCAATTAAATAATTTTTAATTATTTGATTAGTAAGAGCTCCTAATATTAAGAAATTTTAATTATAAATCTCTTGCTTAGTATTTAAAACAATAAATTTAACTAATATTTTAAGGACACACCTTTGATTTTATTATTGTTTGTTAAATAATTTATAGCCGATCATAACTTTAAAACCAATTAATTCAATACAATTAAATTATCTTAGTAAAAGTAAAAATAAAATAAATATGTCTTGTACAAAATTTATGTACCAAAATATAAAAACACATTCTTAAATACTAAATTATCATTCGCTATTATGATATTCTTTAACTCAACATCAAATATTAGAAATACTTCAAAATGATATTTAACAATTGCCCGTTAGATATATACAGTTTCATAATGTTGTTATAATTTTTAAAAGTTTTATACTTTTTGATATGGGGTACACGCGCAAAGTGCGTACTCTAAAACTAGTACTATATTAAAAGCACGAAGACCCTTAGCGTAATATCGTTCGCCTTTTTTACCCTTTAAAAATAGGTTTCACATTACACAAAGTTGTAATTTAATTAACTTTCCTAATATCTAGCACTTTAAAATCAACTAAAATTTTGATTATTAAATATTTTCTTATTAAACTAGGTAAATAGTCCTAATATTTAGGACTTTAAAATCAATAAATTCTTTTCCTTATATAATTTTTTTTCTTATTTTAAATTTTTAATATCTTACATCTTTTTTTTCTATAATAAAAACTTTAATAATAACGTGTAGATGCCCCAGTATTCTCCAATCACAAATAGAAAAGAGTATATGGATAGAGATATTACAAATATCTTACATCTTATTTTTACTTTCGGGGGAATTATTCTTGCATCTCTATAATTTCATATTTATAATATTAAAGTCCTATATTTTATATTATATATTTTTCATCAACTCCTTTTAAAAGTATGACGTTAAACATGAAAGTTTTTCCATAATATATTTAAATTCTAGAAAAAGCTGTCTATAGCTCTCTCTTTTTGTTTAGTTGTGCATAAAAAAATTGTACACTACCTCTACTGACTTGAACAAAAAGTCTCTATCTCCTTTTCTATTCTATTTACTATTTAGCGAAAACTAAAATAAAGAATGTAGTATTATTCTATTGTATTTCTTTATTTTTATTATTAGTTATACGAGCATGAATATATGTATAATAAATTTTATTATCTTCTACTTGCATGAGCCGATTTGTATATTTTTATATTTATTTTGGTTTAATGTGTAAAAAGCTATTTATTAGAAGACACATTGAAATTTATTTTTCATATTATGCTAACCAGCATGAAGGACAAATGCACGGCTATGGACAATAGGGTGGCCTCATTTCGCCTTACCAACCCCAAGGAAACTCCAAATACAGGTCTGGATCATTTGTACAGACAGATTTTTTGGGTGCTAAGATCCAAAGTTGAGAGAAAAAGCCCAGATCGTACGCTAGGTCCCTAAGCAATCACTTAGTGGAAAAGAAAGTGATTGAGTGATGACAATCAGGAGCATATAAAAGACAATATTTGATTGTCCATAAAACTTGATAAATATAAAAGATAACATTTGATGCATTCAGACGTAGAATCAAGATGCATGGTTATGAATGGATAAAGAAAGCTCTCCAGAAAAAAGAAAGAATAGATTAATGGATGCTATTTTGCGATAGTGAATAATAATTTTTACAATATTTTTTATTGATTAAGAAGAAAATATATATTTGAATAGACCTCTTATGTCAGTTAACTTGTATCTTTTAGAATGAGCTTGAGAATATATAACTTTCTATTTTTTTTAGTTAACTTTTAAATCTCCAAAGGTTATATGTTCTTGTTGAAACTAAAAAGAAAGCATGATAATTTGTGAATTTGAAATAGTAAAATTATAAAATCGGGAGAAATATTAAGTTGAACAGAGTAATTGAGATGCTAGATTGAGAACTTCTATGGGGTAGAATTTCTTCCTTCTTGAATAATTAGCTAAATAGGATCAACAATTATTATTTTCAAGAATTTTTTTTTGTAATTTTTTTTTGTAACTTAAACATAATTTTCACTATAAAAAGCATATAATTCATTGAAACAAGTTACACGCGCAAAACACGTACTCTAAGACTAGTCTGTATTATTATAAAAGTACGAATGTTTAGAAGCTAAATGTTAAGTGACAAAAATATCCTCAAAATATCATCTGAATTTTTTACCCTTAAAGTTAAATTTTTCTTTCAAGAAATAATTTAATATTGGATATAACTGTCATAGCGAGTAGAAACTCAGTACTTTGAATAAGAAGAATTCTATGCTATATCAGATACAAAGATAGAGTAATCTATGCTGAATAGATTACAAAGCAACGAACTAAGCTGCAAGCGGTTTGGAATTCCAAACACTCTGTTCGACTTCAAATTATTTCTTTATAGATATTGTTTGGTATTGGATAGAATTGTAATGTTAAGGAGTTCTTCCAACAGTTATGACATCGATTGTGATATGTGATAAATTCTTAAAAATTGCATAGAAGTAGGACTTTAATTATAAAGTCTTAAAAACTGCATAGAAGTAGGACTTTAATAATTACGAATGAAACCCTAACTGAAAATCAATGAAAAAACATGTCATTCCAACTAATGCCGACTTTAAAGACACATTACATTCTTTAAAGTTGGACCAGTTATATTTTCATATCAAATTATAATTCTTTACGAAAATTGGATCATTATGTTCTAGATCACAATGTAATTTCTTTATGTTAGAGTCGATTCCTTTAAGTTATAACACACTTAAATTTTAAATTTTTCTTAAAGAAGTCATTTCATACCAAATAGAATTATAATACTTTGGACTGCCTAATGTTGTGGTTCCATTCTGCTATAATGTAGTTAATTATCCGCGGTAATATTTCAGTTCACGTTGTTATGGCCTATTTAATTATTTGCAAGTGATATTTTATATTGTTAAAGAAAGAAGGAGAACTTACAATAGGATTAAAATTTTCTAATGTACATATTTGTATCCTTTTGAAAAACAACCAAACACAAACTGATTTCGTATAAAAAAATGTTTGCCATCTTATTGACTCTACAAAAGAGCTCAATCAGAACATTAGTGCATGAATTTCGATTACTCGACTTTTACGAGTCAAATAACTTTTTCTCTTCTTCTTTCTTTCTTTCTTTCTTTCTTTGCTTTAACTTCCTTTAGGACATCTATCGTGAAGATTAGTGTACTATTTTTATTTTTATTTTAAATGGTTATAACACTAATTGGTTAGGGCAT